CGTCTTTACCGTCACATCTCAATGGTGCGTTTTTACGGTAGGTGTGGAGCAGGATGAGGAACGGGGTGGATTTTAGTCAACGAGAGACACTCTGTCACGCCTCACTTAGGGCGATAGACGTTATTTGAAGATTTTATTGTTGCTTACAATTTTTGTATCTAGAATTTGGAGATAGTAAGCTGGATAGAGACTTATTTTTTACTTATAAACTTTAGGCGGTCGTTAGTTTGGCTTGTCTCCCAGGTTAGGGCATTTTTTTGTGAGGAGAAAATAATCCAATGACTAATTTCGCCTTCCTCCCGATGAATCTGAAATAGGAACCTACCGAAGCTGCCGTGCCTGGTAAGCACCTGCGTCATTCGGAAGGTGAGAACGCCCAAGTCACACCTCAAAGAGGGGTCTTACCGCTACTATGACGGCGTGCCCGCCAGGTTAGGGACTGTAGGGTAATAAAGGCTTCTTTTTTTTTCTTATGAAAACTTCAGTCATTATGAAAACTTAAGTGTGGGAGAGCCATGCTTCGGCACGAATGGGTCGGCTCGACCGGAGTGATACCACGGCCTCACTGAAAACCGGCGTGAAACAACCGCAGCGTTGTGTTTCGCCGTGTGAGTGAGGTTACCGGAGGCCCAATCCTTCCCCTCCCTCAATCCCTAAATCTCCAAATCCCTAATCCCTAAAAGGTCGGCAACGCACTTGTAACTCCTCCGTTGTGTCCATGGGCGGCGCTGATTGCTTACCATCAGGTAATCCGTCTGCTCGTTTGCCGACCTATTACATAAAAAAAAGTCAGTTTAAAATCCCGTTTTCTCCATTTGCGTAGGGCTCCTCTCCTCTCTCTCCCCCTACACTCGTACAGCGCTACATGTCACACAGCTTGCTCCACGCAGTAGTTACAGCTGTGTGCTGTCTGCCACTCACTCAGTCAGACACGGATTCTGTTATTCTTAAGTGATTTGCATATCTGATCATAATATTATGCTATCAAACTTGTAATTCCCCGAACAAATATATGGAAATATGTCTAGTAGGTAGTTATTGTTATTAATAAATTTTTCTTTTTCTTTTTTATATTATTTTTTTATCATGGTTACACTGTTCTCACATAATTGAACTAAGTGTTTGTAAAAGGAATCTGTATGTGAAACTGATTTAAAAAGGGTGACCATGGAGTTTCTTGCTCGTTTTTCTCCATCGGAATCTACACTTTGGAACGAGCAAATAGTTTTGCTAAGAGGACTGACCGACAGACTGCCATTTTATATCTTTAAAATTTAGTTTGACGTTCAAAAGTTCCTTTAAGCGTCTAATTGAAATAAATTATTTTTACATTTTGACCCATCGTTTCTTTTTTTTTTAACAACTTACTGGTTTCTGAAAGGCTTGTCAACGCTAAAATTAACTAATCTCCTGTTAAATCTCTTGTCAAGTCATCTGATTGGTTGTTGATAATTCAGTCAACCAATCAGATGACTTGACAAGAGATTAAATTGATTTTAAAATTGACCGGCCTTTCGGGAACCGGGTGTTAGTCTGTGCGATGTTGTCACATATAGGTACAATAATAACAACTAACTTAGCTATTTTGTTAAAAGAGTAACGATATTATTGCTTTCTTTTTCTTCTCCATTCGAATCTACACTTTGGAACGAGCACCTAGCATCACTGACGAACGAATTCACATTGTTATACTATTTTGTCATTTCAAAAGTCCCTGAGGGCCCGTAGACCCTCTGTTTATGGTTGAGTTAAAGTGGATAATTTTAATTTTTTTACTATCTACCCGTGTATCTGCGTGGGTACCCTATGATGAGAAAACGTTGGCAGTTTACAAAATAATACATATTATAAATGCGAAAGTAACTCTGTCTTTTCGACACGCTTAAACTACTGAACCGATTCCTATGATATTTGGTACAGATAAAGTTTAGAACTCCAGAAAGGACAAAGGATAGTTTTGATACCAAGAATCTGCAGTACGTCACTATTCCACGTGAACGAAGTAGCGGGCAAAAGCTTGTTAATGACATTCTAAGTGAATAAGTCGGTTTGTTTTCCTTGTCGTTACAGTAACTGAAAATTATGAAGGAATTTTGACATGATTTATAGTTTTCACGGAAAAAGGATGGACAACTGAATGCAATATGGCGTCTACTCTACAGACAATTTATGGCGGGAAAATGTTATAACAAACTCGATGGCAACTACCTTGTTTTCTCATCAAGCTACAATCTATTTTATTTTTATAGTGAACTACATACTCGTACCAGCACCCGCTGATCGGCTCCTACAGATCGTAGCGTGATGTTTTATAGCTCAAAGCCTTCCTCGATAAATTTACTAATAAACACAAAAATAATAGTTCAATTCGAACCAGTAGTTCCGGAGATTAGCGCATTCAAACAAACTCTACAGCTTTATAATATTTGTATAGATATATATTATTATATAAAACTCCACTCCAAATTATACGCCAAGACCTCCAGTACACATTAATAGGTATTTATTTATTTTCAAATATTAAATATCGCTATCACAACCGTCGCGTCGGTTCCGTAAGCTCCACCCGAATCCCCGCCATCTCGCTAGCTGCTGCTGACAACCATAAATTCAATTTTCTCGCCAATTTTAATTATTTATTTTTGTTGTCAATTAAGAAACTTATTTTAAAAATAAAAAATATAAAACATAAAATTAAATAATCCTAAACCTTACATATATTATTAAATAGATTTAAGTGTTAGCTACAGATTATTTTAATGGATATAAAAGCTAGTGTAGATATTACTTCTATGAGTATGGTACTTACTTAAATACATTTTTATTCCTTTACTTCTAAATTATAATTTAAGTATGCAGATGCAGTCTTTAGTTTTTATCGAATTTTAGTTATTCTTCATCTAAATAACTGAAGATCTTTTAATTATTTAGCTTAAGAGATAAAACCATCTGGCTAAAAAAACGAATACTTATATATTTTAATATTTAGTTAAATAAAAGACTAAATATATTTCATACAATACACTAATTATTTTTAGAAATATTAAAAATGAAAAATTAAGTTAAACTGATTGATTACTTTTAAGACTAGACGTTGACAGACAAAGGCTATTTAGATTCAGTAAATATTATGATAATTTTAGACATAGCATTTAACAGGCAAAAAGCCAAAGTACCGAGCTGGATAGTTTCTAAGAAAATTTCTAAACTTGTATGTGCAGAGGTAAACATTCTGAACAGCCTTGTCCATAGAGTTTAAACATATTTGATTTATTTATGCAACGGTATTTGCATGTACAGCCTTTGTGGTAAACAAAGGAGGTAGCATTATAACACTCCATTTAAGTATTGAAGTAGTAAACAGGTATGTCTCAAAGCCAGAAGAACAAGTTAACAGTTGCATGTCTTAAAATTAAATAAAGATTTACCTCCTATCAGCATTTAGGTTTACCATATGGGGAAGTTTTGGGCCTCCAGTAATCTTACTTACACGGCAAAACACAATGCTGTGGTATGGTCGATACCTACTAGAAAAATTTGCCTCAACATCTATTCACCCCTCAAGTTTTATGGTACCAGAATCTTTGTAGCAAGCACTATATGCCACATCAGGAACTAGTATTAAGGAGGTTTAAGTGCCTAGAATAACTTTAAACCTATTGTTAGTTAAAGTAAACACTCAGTAAATTGATGATAACATTCTGAGTAAATGAACTAAGTCTGGAGCAGTGCCAGTTCAATGTATAAACACTCCTATTACATAGAACTTGGAACATTATTGGTGATTTGCAAGTTCTATTTTATTTGTGCCCTAGCTTACAGCGGCTTCACATGCATATATCCTGTAATTTTTTAAACAGCATCATTTAAAGTGATCTCTAATATTATAAAGAGTTAAGTAAGTTTGTATGTAGAGGATAATCATTGGAACCGCTGGTCAGGTTGCCAAAATTCTCTCACTGATAGATAGCTACAATGTTTCTGAGTGCTATAGGCTATAAAACATCATGCTACGATCAAATGGAGCCGGGCAGCAGGTGAAACCACATGAGAGTAGCTAGTCAAGTATATTTTATAGCCTATAGCATTCAGGAACATTTTGTTGAGAAGGAAAGGGGTGGTTTTTATTTAATTAGTGTTTGACTCTCCGTCTTACCTCAACTGTAGCGGGAAACAATATTATATCAATTACTTTTTTTTTTAAACGAACCCAGCATTTACATGTTCCTATTCTGTCTGTTGTCCTGTAGGATTGTTCAGAATTATGGTATAATAGTAATTAAAAAATAAAAAGTAACCAAACTTTTTCCTTTTTCAACCTCATAGATATCTCCAAAGTCCAAAATATAATCAAAAAATGTTCCATAGCAATATTAAATGATATAAGGATGTACATAAGTAGATAGATTATAAAGTTACTTTGTTACGAAAAGTTACAGATAGAATAGCACAGACATAGACAAAATGATAGTCTTAACATTTTATTCATTGATTTTATCAAAACTTTTTGTGTATTCTGATTGGTTGTCCTATTAACTTATTGTAGTTATGATGTAAGAAATCGCGAAAAGATAATACATTCGACATATCTCGACCGGAAATCGGCAACTAATATATAGATTTTAAGTGTAATGTTGAAGAGTTTAAGTGTATAATCATGTCCTCTTGGCTCTAAATGAATCATGAATCGTACACGAAGCTAGTTGACTGCTGCATAATATACAAGTTTATACATACAGCCAATATTCTGCGTAATTTCACTAAAAATAGTTTTTATTAAAGTCGTTTCGCAGAAGTTTTTGCACGATCACAAATCAACACATACACGCCTTTCACCAGTTCACCGCCAAAACACGTATTCTTTTTTTAAATCACTTTATGTTCAAGTTTTTTGTCTCTCACTGTACAAAGACATCAAATGCTTACAGCCGAGATACATTCTACATAGCAACTTTAAATTGCAAATAAAAAGTGAAGGCCTATTTATGTGGGGCACTCACCTCAGTACGCCATCAGCGAATTGCAGTAAAAAATCCAGACACCAGTAATATTATTACACAGTTTATTTAGATCACAACACACAAATTCTATGGTATTTCGCACTATAAAGGTGCTAAGCGCACGGGCTTGCACGGATATCACCAATAAAAACGCGGCGCGATTTTCTAAGAATTATTTTGTTGTTTTCGTTGCACAATTTCGCGAGTATGTCATGACATACGGTGCGCACGAGTTTGAGTGGTGAACATTTCGCCTACCTGCGTCAAGTTTCCAGTGTGGTCAGCGCTAAATATAAAATCTGCCACTCTGATTACCGTTTGTCTAATAATTTATTGAAAGTTTGTTTAATTGTTTGTTAACTTTTTGAGTTGAAGAAACATGAATTAGTATACATAATAGTGATTATTATGATATTTGATGATTTTAAATCTGTGTTCGTTACAAACGATTAAATTAAAATGCTGGATATTGGAATAGAGAAATTTAAAATAAAATTACGGCTTTCTTGGCCTAGCGGACTACAAAAGTGCATTTGAATAATTTAATACCAATTTTTAACGAGATATGTAGATATAGAATTAGTCCTACAGAAATCATTCGAATCAATTATGTCATATAGTAATAGTCAGGAACCAATCTAAACTACAAGCTACGTATATTTTTTTTATATACGGAAATATTCTCAATCATCTTTTACCAGAACTGCAGCATCGCACCATAGAACTCCTTGCTTAGCAATCAGATCCACAACCACATTTAACAGTGAATAAAATTGTACAAGTAAGTAAATATAAAACCACTATTGGTAAAGACAAATGACAAAATAAAAGAAAACGTTATGGGAATACCTATTTGCAAAATTATTGAGTTTCCCCATAGCGATATCTTGGATATAGTAGTTTGTTAGTACCTACCTACCTACCTATATACACCTACTTGCGTCAATCTCATCAATTAAGTAGATTAATGACAAGTTTCTGTTTGGCTTGTTTCCCATTGTTAAGTCGATTTACCTTCATAATGTTTAAAGTAGTAAACGTTGTTTTAGCATTTATCTTCATGGAAATTAGTTTCACTGTGTTTCGAAAATTCGGCTTAAATTTTGCAGTATCTTGATCTGATTTTAAGAATGAAAACATCACCAATACCTCATCCTCAATGGTACCGTATTGGTGAATGATATACTGCAGGGCTCTGGACCATCTATAGAAAAAAAGGCAAGTGGATTAGAGGGCAGGGGGAGGGCATTAGAGGGCACGTTTTAACTTTTTTTGACAGTAGGTGGGTAATGCTCACTGTATCTTTCTTCATACTCAAATAATATCTAATATTTATTTGTCTTTATTTAAATATTTTAGAGATTTGACAATTACTTTTATTCGATTATTAGAATTATTGATCAAAAGGCCTATTTATACACACTGTATCTACTTTAATTGAAGTTGCTTGATGACCGAGCTATGCTCGTTAAAATAATGAAACTGAGATTTTTTACCTAAAACATTTCATTAAAATCATTACACTTTTTAGAGATCCATAAATACACATTCAATTTACGTATTAATAAGAATTACTCGTTTAGTTAATCAAAAAAATAATTAATAAATCAATTGCTTAATTTTGTTTTCACTAAATAAAAATATATGTACAAGTAAACATTCATAACAAAAATACCCTTATACAAAAATAATCACAATTACTCGGCAACACTGAATCGAATTACCCACCTGTTATTAAAATAGCCGTGCGTCATCGGCTAGAAAAGGATGGCTTTATCGCTGATAACAGTTGTGCGAAAGAGACAAAGCACTCACATTATGATTGTCGACCTGAATAATTTCTAGATTTAGTTAGGCACCATCTTTTCAATTTATTTTTATTTTTCAATATACTGTTATAGATTTTTTTTGTTATTATAGATAGTAAATAGAGCGCTTTCTATTATTCTTTATTAGGTTATGTATTATGGAAAAAATGACATTGACATTTAGCAGGCTTAGCAACAAAACAAATTGCGAGCAGCGTGTTGTCTTTTTTAAATCAATCAAGCTTTTTTTGTTTTTGTTGTTTAAACTGAGCTGTGACATCGTTATTAATATATCAATAATATTAATTTAAGAATCAATTAAGTAGATCAATGATCTTTTTAGTAGTACGTTAGGAAGCAAAGTAGATCTCATGCGGCCAAATTCATGTTTGTTTAAAAAGTTAAAGTTTGGTTATTGTGTTCTTAAGTACCAACAGTCGTAGGTACTCATTCCGTAACACGCTTAACCTTTATTCAAATAAAGGTATATATATTACCACATCGTGTTTTTTTAAATAATGCACTCTAACTTTTAATACGGTAACACTAAAGGTATAAATATCACATATTTATAATCTATAATAATTTGTTTATCTATTTTATATCATTTGACAACCTGTCAACGTCATTTGTCACTGTAAGGTAATGTCAAAGTTGACTCAACGGTTTTGTTGTGAAAAAAGTCGAGTTTTTGGCGGGTGTTTTCGGAAATTTTAAAAGTTTGTTCAAGAAAAAATCTGGTAAGTACTTTTTCGACGCAAATTCCAAAACTATAACATATTTTGACTAATCTCACGTGTTAGCAGCATTTGCAATTGACTTATTCATATAATTTAGATGTTTCAAATATGTGGTAAATATCTTACCCTTGTCCGATCCCACTTTGAAAAATATCAGATTATCTATATAAAAATCGGTTGTCTTTTTGTATATTTTTTTTTGGACTGCAAAAAGCTAAATAAATATTTTGAGAAGTTCATATATAATAAAGTTCTTACGTAACGTGTCAATTAATACTTTGTTTATTTCAGATATTCAATATGTCAAAGAAAATAAATTTAAATGAAAAAAGTAGACTTCAAAAAGTTGTTGATAATTTAGAAGACTTATCGGATCTCTCTGATTGCGACGAAGAAGATGACCCATGTTGGGGACAGGTAATCAGTAGCCCTACGGACATCTTTGTACCTGTGCCAGAAGAAGAGATGTTAGAAAGAAGATTAGAAGAATTGTTCGGGTCAACTGAAGAAAATGAAAAAGTTACGCTTGAACACGATGCTACAGAACAAACCAACGAGAATCTACTAGAAGTTTTAGAGCCTAGTTCACATGTTAATAATAGCCCATACAGAAGTGAGCTAAACGTCCCCGAATTTGCTGTGCCAGTTGAGGATACACCAAGTACGTTTGCTTCTATATCAAGTCCTCGTAGCTCAATATCTTCACTTTTACGTACATTTCAAGATGTTCCCGCGCTTAGTGACCAACAGTCTTTATTTTCTGTAACTGAATTCGAAGCTGTTCTCCCGGAAGTCCGAAGTGATACTATGTCTCCCTTGTATCAAGAAAATAATTTAAGTATTCTCAATAATCTAGAACAAGAGTCTATTATCAGTAATATTCAACGCCCACCTCGCAGAGATCGGTTGACGCCTCGCGACTGGCAAATTTTAGATGAGCCTCACACAGTTCCACCTTTTGACAAAAAGGCAACCACTAGTACACAATACACCCATAAAACTCAACCGATTCAAGTATTTGAAAAGTTTTTTACTGATTACATAATTGAAATAATTGTCCAACAAACAAATACATACGCACGCCAAAAAAATAGTAAAAATTGGTCTCCAGTGTCAAGTGCTGAAATGAAGGCTTATTTAGGCGTGCTCATATTGATGGGGCTCAATCCATTACCGGATATGGAATTGTATTGGTCCAGTGACACATTCTATAATAATCCGGAAATTTCGAGGGTATTTCCACTCACTAGATTCAAAAAAATTACCGAAAATTTACACCTTAATAATAATGAATTGGAGCCAGGGAGAAATTCTGCAGAATATGACAAGTTGTACAAACTAAGGCCTTTAATCACGGAGTTGAATGACATTTTCCAAAATGAAATGGAAAATTCGAGCCAACAATCCATTGATGAGTGTATGGTGAAATTTAAAGGAAGGAGTTCATTAAAACAATATATGCCTAAAAAACCAATTAAAAGAGGTTTTAAAGTATGGGCAAGATGTGATGCTGCAACTGGTTACTTGTACCAGTTCCAAATTTATAGTGGCAAAGGTGACAGCGTCGAGAATGAAGGCTTAGGTTATAATGTTGTGATGTCATTGTGCAATGACCTGCCGGAATCGACATTAGTGGCTTTCGACAATTTTTTCACCAGTTGCAACCTTATGGATGCCTTATATGAGAAAGGAATATACGCAGTCGGAACTGTCCGATCTGACAGAAAGGATTTACCAAGCATTTTAAAAAAATCGCAACCAAAAGCGCTGAAATTAGAGAAGCACCAATTTGCATCAGTGTCAGCAGGTCCTATTACTGCAATTAAGTGGCATGACACCCGGGACGTATCAGTGCTAACTACGGCTCATCATCCACGTGAGGTGATGTATGTTAAAAGAACACAAAAAGATGGATCCAGGCAGGATATACTTTGCCCCAAAGCAATTGCCTCTTATACCCTCACGATGGGTGGTGTAGACCATTTTGACCATTTCCGTTCGTCGTACCCAATTGACAGAAAATCGAGGAAGTATTGGATGAGGCTTTTTATTTTCATGTTTGATTCTGCAATTATAAATTCATACATAGCGTATAATACAACACATACAGTAAATGTTCATTCTCACCGTAATTACAGATTAAAATTGGCGCGCGAACTAATAGACAATTTCACAGGAAAAAAAAATAAACCAACAGTGTTTAAAAATAAAAAAGGTGGCAACTTTGGGGTACCCGACGAAATCCGTCTTTTAAATGTCGGTGTACACATGCCGGAAGAAATTGATACCTATAAGAGATGTAGGTTTTGTAGTACTAGAAGAGAACAAAAGCGTACAAAAATATGTTGCACTATGTGCAAAGTAGCATTATGTGCTCGATCTTGCTTCAGGTTGTTCCATATCGCCGACTCCGGTGTAGAATAAAGAGAATGCCCAAGTTTCATAAAAAAGAAACCTAGCTCCAGCAGACATGAGATGTATCTCATATTATCATCAATAATAATAAACGGTCATTACCGTGATACTTGCTGGCGAAGATAGAAAAATTGCCAATTTTACTTTCCATAGGTTGGGTTTTTATTAAAAATAACATTGATTACTTTTTTTATATATTTTTTGTACAAGTCATTTGTTTTTAATTTAGATTTATAGATTGTAAGAATACTATTAATATAAGCAATACTATAAGATAGGTAATATGCAATACTAATAAAAAATTATTAAAAAAATA